GACATGGTTTCTCTTTGTTATTCTGGCTGTCCTGGAACTTGAGCTCTAGACAGGGATGGCCTCGAATTTAGACATCCACCTGCCTCTGCCTTCCAAGTGCTGTGATTAAAGGTGTGCACCACCACACCCTGCAATTTAAAGCACGTACAAGTATTCCATCAATTCATTATCACAGTTAAGTATTGTTAGCGCCCTTGCCGTAATTGGCATAGTACAGAGTGATTTAGCCCCAGATGTGCCTCTAAAACTTTCTTGAACTTTTCTAAGTCAACAAAATAGAATAGTTATACAAAGCCTGCCACCGAATGAAAGCACTCCTTCCTCCTTCACCCCGCCCCTCCTTCCCCAACCTTTTAGCTCCTCATAGCCTGGAAATTGATATGTAGATCAGGCTGGCCTCAAACTCCAGAGATTCACAGGCCTTTAGAGTACTGGGATTAAAGGATGCTCCACCACACCCAACTTAATTCCTTTTAAAGTCAATAAATACTATTAGGATACTTAATCCTATGTGAAACCTAAGTTCCTGTACTTTCACGGAAGCATAGACATTCAAGATAGAAAAAGAAAAAGTAACATTTATAGATTCTTATCTTACAATAGAGTACGATGTACTTGATTTCTTGAAAATTAGAGCTACATCAAATTAACTTTCTTGCACGCACTAGATGTTGTGGACTCGGATTGACATAGCCCGGTGTCTTGGTGCTTGCCTGCAATCCCATTATTTTAGAGGTGGGGGAAGATCAGGGGTTCAATGTCAACATGAGACTGTGTCTCAAAAAAAAAAAAAAGTCAAATGAGATGGTTGGTTCTTCTGGTAAAGGTGATGGCCACCAGGGTTGATGATCCTGCGGCCTACAAGGTGGAAAGAGAACCAATTCCTCAAATAACCCTCCTACCACTTGTGCACAGATACACTAAATAAATAAATTTTTTATATATTTATAAATATATATAAATAAAGGAAAAAAAGGTTTGGGTTTTTTTTTGTTTGGTTGGTTGGTTGATTTTTCTTTTTTCCTTCTTTCTTTGTTTTTTGTTTTTCGAGACGGGGTTTCTGTGTAACTTTGGAGCCTATCCTGGCTTTGAACTCACAGAGATCCGCCTGTCTCTGTCTCCCGAGTGCTGGGACTAAAGGTGTGTGCCACCACCACTGGGCTTGGTTAGTTTTCAAGACAGAGTTTCTCTGTGTAGTGATATTTAATTTGTATTTTAATAAATAAAGCTTGCCTGAAGATTAGAGAGTAAAACAGCCCTAGTGATCAGCAGTACAGACCAGTCAGTGGTGGCACACACCTTTAATCCCAGTAGCCACACTAGTTTGCCATAAAACCATGTGGTAGTGGTGCACGCCTTTAATCCCAGCACTAGAGAGGATTTTAAAATGGGAGGAGACAGGTTTCATTCTCATTCTGAGGATTCCTGGAGGCAGCATCACCATTTTTGTACAGAGGTAATGGTAAGAGCCAGTGGCTAGCTGCTTTGATTTTCTGGTCTTCACGTTGTACTCCAATATTTATCTGTCTATGGGTTTTTTACTAGTAGTGCTACAGGCAGTCCTGGAACTCACTGTAGACCAAGGTGGCCTCAATCTCAGAGTTCCATTTGCCTCTGCCTCCTGGGTGCTGTGACTAATGTCATGGGCCACCACTGAGTGGTGGTTTATTGTTTTGTTTTTAAGATAAAGAAAGGTTAACATACTAGAAAGTATTATTTTCTCAGTAGCTTAGCTGGTACTGTTGTGTTTTAAGGCTTCCACTAACAGGAGACACAGCAGGCACACAGAGAAAGGCTCACAAAGCTGCGGAAGGATTTGGGAAGCCAAAGCTTCATATATACCTCACTATTGGGAAGGGGCATTGAGATAGGGTATTTCCAAGTCCAGGCTTTCCTGGAACTCTGTCTAGACCAGGCCAGCTTCTAGCTCCAAGATCCAAGTTTATGTGGCGCTGGGTATCCAGCCCAGGCCTCACGTATGCTAGGCAAGCTTTCTCCCAACAGCTACAGGCCCTAACTCAACATCAGCAGTTTGTTCTATACTGTCAATCAGGTGTATTAGGACAATACATTTTGAAATATTCACATATGGACTTAATTGTTGAAGCTTGAAGGGAGTTTAGAATTTGCACTGATTCAGCTACTAAAAGAGACGTAGAACTAGGGTCAAAGATGGCACCTAGCTCACTTGACTTGAGTTTTCCACGGCGCCTCCTACAAGACACCTGTGACTATTTGCCATTGCCATTTCTCTTTTCTTCACACCCTCTCCCCTCTTTTTTCTTCTGAGGCAGGATTTTTCTGTGTAACAGCTCTGGCTGTCCTTGAACTCTTTTCACACTGTCTCCTGTAGCCCAGGCTAGCCTGGACCTGACTCTCTAAGTAGCTCAAGATTATCTTAAACTATGCCAGGCAGTGCTGCGCAGGCCTTTGAACCCAGCACTTTGGAGGCAGAGGTAGGAGGAGCTCTGTGAGTTCAAGGCTAGCCTGGTTTACAGAGCTAGTTGCAGGCCAGTTAGGGCTGTCACACAGAAAAACCCTGAGAGAGAGAGAGAGAGAGAGAGAGAGAGAGAGAGAGAGAGAGAGAGAGACAGACAGAGAAACACTACCTTGAACTTCTTGCCTCCACACTCAAAAGTGCTGGGATATAGGCATTTCACTCAAAAGTGCTGGATATAGGCATTTACCACCATGCCTGTGTTTATTTTATTTTAATATTTATTTATTTATTTGGTTTTTCAAGACAGGGTTTCGCTGTAGTTTTAGAGCGTGTCCTGGAACTAGCTCTTGTAGACCAGGCTGGCCTCGAACTCAGAGATCTGCCTGTCTCTGCCTCCCAAGTGCTGGGATTAAAGGCGTGCGCCACTACCGCCCAGCTCATGTGTTTATTTTTATTCTTTGAGATGGATCTTACTTTGTAGCCTAGGCTACTCTTGAACAGCAGGACCCAAGTGATGTTCCTGCCTGGGTTTTCAAGTAGCTGAGATTGCTGGCATCTTTCCCTCTGTTCCTCCCTGTACAGAAGATAAAACCCATAACCTCATACATGCCAGGCAAAGTATCATTTCCTGATTTAAATATCCAATCTCTTCTTTTAATCAACACAACATAAAAACCCTCAAAAACAACTCCAGTCATTAGGGCCAGTGAAATACCTCAGAGGACAAAAGTGCTTGCCGCCAGTCTTAACCAACATGGTGAAATGAGAGAACCAACTCCTTCAAGTTGTCCTCTGACCTCTATATTCACTGTGACACATGCCTGTCCCTTCCCCAACATAAAAGAAGAAATAAATATAACAGAAAAATTCTTTAGTTATAAAAATGATTACAGAAGTCAGGCATGGTGATCCACATCTGTAACCTCAATAATTGGAGTGAGGAGGGGTGATACAGGAGCATCACCCCAGATTCAAAGCCAGTTGAGAAGTCTGTAAATACTGTCTCAGAAAAGAGCTGGGTCTGGTGATGCTGGCCTATAATGCCAGCATTTGAGAAGCAAAAGCAGGAAGATTGTCCAGGAGTTTAGTTGTCCCATAGTAAATTCCAGAGCATAGTGGGGTAGAGTGAGATCCTATCTAAAAACAACAAGAACAAAAATAAGAAATAAAACAAAAAAAGAATGCTCATAATACATTGGGTAGTTTAATGAATTAATACCAAGATGGGTTAGACCTTTTTAATATACTGATTTTTGCTACTGGAAGTGATGGACACACCTTTAATCCTAGCACTTGGGAGGCAGAGGCAAGTGGATCTGTGAGTTCCACCGCCTCCCAGCAGCAGACATGCTTTGAATGTTTCTGCTCCTGTAGAGGCAGAGAGCAGGAGAGGAGGAGTAGATTTTTGTTTTTTTCGAGACAGGGTTTCTCTGTGTAGCCCTGGCTGTCCTGGAACTCCCTTTGTAGAACAGGCTGGCCTTGAACTCACAGAGATCACCTTGCCTCCCAAGTGCTGGAATTAAGGCAGGGACCACCACTGCCCTGCTTGGCCTGCCTGACTTTGCAATCCTGTCTTGATGGAGTTATGAAGCCCAGGGCCTCACATATACTAGATAAGCTCTCTACCACCAGCTTCCATCTTCAGCTAAATCCTGGTTGGAGTTGCACCATGCCACACAACTGGTATACTTCCGCGGCCGGGGTGGTACTTGATGCTAGTTATTTGTTTACAGGTAGCTTTTGAAAATGGCTGCCTCTCATTACACCGGGCTTACAGCTGTTGCTGATGTAATTAAAGATCTAGACACTCAGATAGCAGTAAGTAAACTTGAGGCCACTGTGGGCAGAACTTGGTGAATGTGCTTCTGATCTTGACACCTCAGCCAATGTTCACAGAGTCGGCCTTATGGCTCTAAGCTTTAGGACTTGCAGCTGCTTTAGGCGATGGTCTCAGCATGTGTTGAAGATTGCTAAAACACTGGGGGAAAGTTCTTTATAGTAAAGCAGAGCTTTTACAGTTGCTAAAAGTGGTCTTTATTGGACAGACCCCTGCCTTGGACTTGGACTTAAGCTTGTTTTGAAATGCTTCATGTTTTGATAATGAACTAATGGTTTTCTTAAGCTTTGTGACTGAGTTTTAAGTGTGTGATTGTGCTGTTTATTTGAATTTAACATTATTTCCTACTTAAAAAAAACATGCATGTAAGTACTTAACCTAGTATTCTGTCTACTTGTATGAATCCCTCAAAAATGTCTTGCTTATTCTAGATTATTTTTGTAAATAAGATTTCTCATTTCATTTACTTTTTTCTTTACTTAATTTTGTGAACTATTTCATTTCTATTTTGGAGACAAGATGATTTCCAAAACCAGGTGAGAGCAGTGAACATTCCTCATCCCCTCCATTTTGATGTCATTATCAAGTAGTCACCCTCCTGGACACACAGAAGACTCAATTCTGACAGATCTCATGTTACTTTCAAAATGCACACATTACTGCAGGTGTCTCTAGAGTAATTCTGCTGTTTTCCTTCTCCAGTTGATTGGCCTTGGTCCTCACAGCTCCAAAAAGAAACAGGATCTTGATAAGCTCTATGAGCTGAAGTCCAAAGCTCGGCAGATTATGAACCAGTTTGGCCCCTCAGCCCTAATCAACCTCTCCAATTTCTCATCTATAAAACCGGAGCCAGCCAGCACCCCTCCACAAGGCTCCATGGCCAATAGCACCACTGTGGTAAAGATACCAGGCACTCCTGGGACAGGCGGTCGTCTTAGTCCTGAAAACAATCAGGTACCTCTTAGCTCTCTTCTTTGTGACATGCGCCTGTGAGGCACAGAGGTAGTGCTCATGCTCTCTGTTGAAAAAGGTCTTTCCCAAACTAGGTGGTTTGGGAAATTTAATCCCAGCACTCAGGAGGCAGAGGCAGGCGGATCTCTGTGAGTTTGAGGCCAGCCCTGTCTACAGAGCTAGTTCCAGGACAGGCTCCAAAGCTACAGAGAAACCCTGTCTTGAAAAACAACAAACAAACAAAAATAGAATAAAGTAAAGAAAAAGGGTTTTGCTCTCTGGGATAGTATTTTTATTGAATTGTCTATGAGTATCAGTTTTTGCTCTGTTATATATGACTGTGTGTGTATGTAATAACAAACTTTCAAAGAGCATGTGGCTGGGGTTTTAGTATAGCCTGGGGTGACTAGAACTCAAAGATGTGGCCCCAGGCAGCATCAAAGTCATGGGCAATCTTCCTGCCTCTTGCTCCCCAGGGTTGGGATTACAGGAGTGAGCTACCACACTCGGCAATGGCAGATATTTTATGAGTTATCTATATAATACATGGGCTCCTAGTCCTAAAATAAGAGTGTTCAGTTGTTCCTTCTAATGGTTTATCTTACTGCTGCCATTCATTTCTGCAGTGATTCTGAAATCTGTTCTACTCTTTGTACCTATGACTCTAGAGGCAGGGGGATCTCTGAGTTCAAGGCCAGCCTGGTCTACAGAGTGAGCTCCAGGATAGCCATGGGTATCACATAGAGAAACCCTGTCTCGGAAAACCAAAAGAAAGACAAAGCCTTGGATCTTGTAGGCTGAATACAATGGATGAGGAGACATTCAAGGGAGTGGATAGGAGGACTAACTGAATTGCTTGTGGAAGGGTTGGCTGAATAGAGTCCAGCCTGTGTTGACTATGGAGGCCACTATAGAAGAGCAAGGTGGCTCACATCTTCCACAGGATTCCTCTTCCTCTGCTACAAAACCAGTTATGGGCCCTGCCTTAGAAAACTTGAGGGCTAGCAAAAAGACTCAGTCAGTAAAGGCCCTTGCTGCCAATCTTGATAATCTGAGTTCAATCCCCAAATCTAGATAGTGGAAAAAGAGATTCTAATTCCTTTTTTTTTTTTTTTTCTTTTTTGTTTTCGAGACAGGGTTTCTCTGTGGCTTTGGAGCCTGTCCTGGAACTAGCTCTGTAGACCAGGCTGGTCTCGAACTCCCAGAGATCCGCCTGCCTCTGCCTCCCGAGTACTGGGATTAAAGGTGTGCGCCACCATCGCCCGGCGAGATTCTAATTCCTCGTTAACCTCTTCCACGTGTGTGCACTGTCGTTCACGTGCATGCGCACACACTCGTGCTCCACTAAATAACTGTAAAGAGAAGTCTTTAGTCCCAGGACTTGGGAGGCAGAGGCAGCCTGGTCTACATAGTGATGTAGGTCGTAGGGGTAGGAGGACACAAAAGCCCAGATACTTGTTTCACTTAAATGGTTAGATTTAGTGTTTTTTTCTATCTGTGATTCTAGGGATCCATAGCTGGGCTTCAAGCTAGGTAAGCAATCTACAACCAAACTGAATCTTCAGCTCCCCCATCACGTTTTAATGTTATCTAGATGTAACATGACTTTCTTTAGAAAAGGGGGTGATACCTTCAGCTACTTACTATTATTTAGGTGTACAGAGATGACCACTTTTGGTCACCCTCAGAACTGTTAGCCTTTTTTTTCTTGGGTGGAGGTGTTCCTCTGTCTAGCCCCGGCAGTCCTTTAACTCATTCTGTAGACAAGACTGGACTTGAACTCAGAATCTGTCTGCCTGTCTGTGTCTCCCAAGCGCTGGGATTAAAGGTGTGTGCCTTCACACCTGGCTCAATCCCTTAGCCTTCTAAATCAGAAATGGGCTGATTTGCAAATCTGCAGAGTGACAGAAGAGCTGAAGGGGGTGTGGGTCCTTTTACTTGGGTGGGCTAGGAGACACCTCAGAAAAGAGAACCATAGCCTGAGCGTTTAGGAAGAAAGAACACATCTAAAGACAACTGATCAAGGGCACAGTGTACGGTGATCTGGTGTTCCGAGAATTGCAGACTGCTCTGTGCAGAGCAGGGAAGAATAGTGAGAAAGATAAAGTTGAATAAAATGCCTGACAGTCAGGTGCTGACCTCACCTCCAAACCACTCTTGCCTCTTGCCCTTGAGTACTTTTGCAGCTGTACCATCAGGGAGGGCTGTCTGGGAGCTAGAACTAAACAACTTGACAGCCTGTCTTCTTTATAGGATAATAAAGTTTGTGTCCTTGATGCTTACGAAAACTCTTCCCTCCAATTCACTTTAGGTACTAACCAAGAAGAAATTACAAGACTTAGTCAGAGAGGTGGATCCTAATGAGCAGCTGGATGAAGATGTGGAGGAGGTAAGTTGCATCTGGGTACCAAAGATGATAACAGCATGGTAGTTAAGAGTGGAGACTTGGGGGAGATGGGGAGATGGCTCACTGGTTAAGAGCACTGGCTGCTTTTCCAGAGGTCCTGGGTTCAATTCCCAACACTCCCATGATTTCTCACAACCGTAACTCCAGTTCCAGGGGATCCAGCACCATAATATGGACATACATGTAGACAAAACACAAATAAAAAATAAAAATATGGGCCTGGAGATGGCTCCGGAATTAAGAGCACCTGCTCTTGCAGAGGACAGTTTCAATTCCCAGCAACCATATAGTACCTCACATTAATCTGTAAGTCCATTTCCAAGGATTCTGATGCTTTCTTCTGACTTATACGGGTACACACACAGACATGGTTCATATATGTATGTGCAGACAAAATATTTGTAAACAAAACTTTTTGAAAAGTTTTTTTAAATAAAAATATATTTTATATAGGGACTGGTGGTGATGCATGCCTTTAATCATAGCGCTAGGGAAATAGGAACGGGGAATCTCTGAGTCCGAGGCCAGCCTGATCTACAGAGTGAGTTTTAGGACAGCCAGGGCTACGCAGAGAAATAGTGTTTTGAGAAGCCAAATAAATAGCTTTTTAAAGGGGGCAGAGATTTAGTGTTGACAAATACGAATTCTAATCTTTTTCTTTTTTTCTCTCTCTCTTCTTTATTTTTTGTTTATTTATTTATTTATTTATTGGTTTTTTTTCGAGACAGGGTTTCTCTGTGGTTTTGGAGCCTGTCCTGGAACTAGCTCTTGTAGACCAGGCTGGTCTTGAACTCACAGAGATCCACCTGCCTCTGCCTCCCAAGTGCTGGGATTAAAGGCGTGTGCCACCACTGCCCAGCTTTTCTAGTTTGTTTGTTTATTTATTTATTTATTGTGATTTTTTTTGTTTTGTTTTGTTTTCAAGACAGGGTTTCTCTGTGGTTTTGGAGCCTGTCCTGGAACTAGCTCTGTAGACCAGGCTGGTCTCGAACTCACAGAGATCCGCCTGCCTCTGCCTCCCGAGTGCTGGGATTAAAGGCGTGCGCCACCACCGCCTGGCTTATTGTGATTTTTTGAGATGGAGTTTCTCCGTGGCTTTGGTGCCTGTTTTAGAACTTGCTCTGTAGACCAGGCTGACCTTGAACTCACAGATCTGCCTGTCTGCCACCTAAGTGCAGGGAATAAAGGCGAGCGCCACCACCAGCCAGCCCAGAGTACTTTTCTACAGGGCCTCAGGTTTGGTTTCCAGCACCACCATCCATAACTCAAGTTCCAGTTCATCTAGTGCCTTTCTTTGTCTCCCATGTAGTCATAGTATGTGGTCACATCTGTACATGCAGGCAAAACACTAATATACATCACTTTAAAAATATGAAAAGAGGGGCTCGAGGATGGCTCTGCAGATAAGAGCACTTCTCTTATCTGCTCTTCCAAAAGACCCGACTGAGTTCAGTTCCCAGCACCCACATGGCAGCTTTTTGAGTCTAGCTTGAGGAGATCTCATGCCTTCTAGCTTTCACAGGCACCGCCCCAGATGTACGTGCAAGCAAAACATCCATACATATTAGAGAGAAAGAGAGAGAGAGAGAGAGAGAGAGAGAGAGAGAGAGAGAGAGAGAGCACGTTATTTAAATAATAGATAAAAATATAAAGGCTTCAGGATTAGAACTTGACCTTGAAGGCTGAGTCCCATCTCCTGCTATCTTATTACACAGCTCGAGTAGGTTGGTCTTAGTCTCAGCATCTTCCTTTAAAGGCTGGGGACAAAGGCCTGGGGAGGTGATGACTGGGCTGTTAAGAGTACTTTTTGCCAGGAGGTGGTGGCGCACGCCTTTAATCCCAGTACTCCAGAGGCAGAGGCAGGCAGATCTTTGTGAGTTCGAGGCCAGCCTGGTCTATAAAAGCTAGTTCCAGGACAGGCTCCAAAACCACAGAGAAACCCTGTCTCGAAAAACCAAAAAAAAAAAAAGAGTACTTCTTGCACAAGCTTGAAGACTAGCAATCAGATCCCAGCATCAGTGTAAGAGGCTGAGGATCTACAAGAAGCAGAGAAATGTGGGCTGCTAGAGTTTGCTGAGAAAGGCTAAGTCCAGGTCCAGTGCCTCATAGGAGCAGGCTGAGGTAGTGAATACTTGATGTTTCTCCAGGTGTGTGCGCTCGCAGACACACACACACAATTTTTTTTTTAAATGATTGAGGCTCTGGAGAAATGAGTTAGCAATTAAGAGCACTTGCTGTTCTTATAGAGGACCCAAGTTTGGTTCTCAGCATTCATGGCAGACAACTCACAAACACTGGTAACTCCTGATTCCAGAGGATCTGACATCCTCTTCTGTTCTCCTAGGAACACATAAATGTGTGGCAGCACATGCCTTTATCCCAGCACTTGGGAGGCAGAGGCAAGCCTATAGTGATTTCAAAACCAGCCTAGTCTACACAAGATCCAGGCGAATAGTGGTTACATAGTGATACCCTATTTCAAAAACACAGATAGCCAGGCGTGGTGCACTGGCCTTTAATCCCAACCGTTGGGAGATAGAAACAAGCAAATCTCTTCCAGGACAGGCTCTAAAGCTACAGAGAATCCCTGTCTTGAAAGTAAATTAAACAAGTTGGGTAGTGGTGACTTTCGCCTTTAATCCCAGCACTTGGGAGGCAGAGGCAGGTGGATCTCCATGAGTTCTAGGCCAGCCTAGCCTAAATAGTGAGTTCCAGGACAGGCTTTAAAGCTACAGAGAAACCCTGTCTCCAAAAAACAAACAAAAGAATAGAAATACCAAGTCTTTCATGTGACAGTAGTGAAGAATTGGGCATCAAATTTTTTTGGAGGGGAGGGAGGTGAGGTTGAGGCAGGGTTCTCTGTACAGAGGTGTACAGGAAAGAGCACCAGGCGCATGCCTTTAATCCCAGCACTTGGCAGGCAGATCTCTGTGAGTTCAAGGCCAGCCTGGACTAAGAGTGAGTTCCAGGACAGACTCCAAAGCTATGCAGAGAAACCCTGTTGCAAAAAACCAAACCAAGCTGGCACACCTTTAATCCCAGCACTTGGGAGGCAGAGGCAGGCGGATCTTTGTAAGTTGGAGGCCAGCCTGCTCTACAAGAGCTAGTTCCAGGACAGGCTCCATAGCTACTGAGAAATGCTGTCTTGAGCCACAGAGAAACCCTGTCTTGAAAAACCAAAAAAAAAAAAAAAAAAAAAAAAAAAAAAAAAAAAAAAAAAC